GAAGGGTAACTTCTCCACCACGACCAACGCACTATACACTGGATAATCCCAATGAGTCTACTGCGTGGGATCTAGAGATAAACTGCACTGCTTGCTGGCTGTGCTTGCTTCCTTGGAACTAGCTGTGTTTTGGTGTGGATACTTCTCAGGAAGGATCTCACTACGGGCACTACTCTTGTGTTGCCTGTAAAAGCTTGTTGGCTGGATAGCGTTCGTTTTGGTCACTCTTGGTGCACCTGTTTGCTGGCTGGATAGCCCCTGTTGTTTGACAGCTCACGTAGAACGCTGGTATCTTCTTTGGACCCTTGGGTAGTATCGAACTGCCTCTGATGGTCCTTTCGTTGCCTCTGTTCTTCCTGCAGATGACCTTCTGTATACTTTGATGAGTACACGGTGTGATTTTTGAGCATCGAACATACTCTCGTTGGAGTTTCAGTCTCCGAAACGTTACCGGGATTTCTGTTCTTCACTTCAACAATAGCAACGGTTGACTCGTAATCAACCTATCGCTCAATTTTTGGAGTTAGAAGCTTTCGAGTGTATCCACGATTAAGTGCGACTAGAGATTTCCATCTATCGATCTGATGTATTGGGTACTCTTGGCCTTCGCAACGCTCTGCTGTCAACGACCTATCTGATCCCCGTCTGATGATGCTTCCTGCTGCTATGTGATGTGACGTATCGGAACTCCCGTTCTCCTCCAAGCGCGATTGAAGACTATCAATCCTGGATAGAGAAGGATTTCCTTTTTCAGCACAACCGTGTCAGCTTACTGCTCTTTATCACTGGTACCTCTTCGATGCACGTAGTTGGCCGGAAGCTGTTAGATCGATCGGTAATGGGATTTTCAGTCGCTTGACGCACGTATGTGGCAATTCTCCTGTTAGAGTGTTTGCCTATACTGAGAGTGTTGCTATAGAGCAATTCTGCGCACCTCTTCTCTGTTGCATGGTGTTAACTCACTTCAAGTCAATTGATACTTGATGTCTTTGACTTGGTTTACCTGATATCGATCTCGAGATCGGTAGTGAACTCGAGATGGCCTCTTGCTTTACAGTAGTTAATTGCTAAGTAAACTGCAGTCTTATTGGGTAGTAATTTGGTTTTAGATTTAAGCTGATAAAGCAAAAATGAGGGATTTTCTGGTGGTGTGCATGCAATTACTGTATTGAATGGGATATAAGGACCCCCGTCAACACTTTAGTATCACAACTGAAAACTCCCTTCTCCTTCTATATGAATTACACGAACCGTAAGAATGATTAAACACCAGTCAATAGTAAAAGAGGTGTCAGGTATTTTCCTCCAACAGCGCTGCTGCTTCTTGGGCTGTTGGAGCCGTTGGAACCAATGCGCTGTCACCAGTCGGCTTTGGACGGCATCACACTGCCCTATGGCTGACAGTGGAGTGGCATTGGTTCTCCCCATGAATGATGGTGTCAAAGCAGGTGTAGGTGCTGTAGACAGGTGAGCCTAGCAGCTACCACGACCAAGGGCTTCCAGTTGATGTTCAGTTGGTCCTTCAAGCTGGATGAACTGAGCTTCCATCTCTTCGCTTGAAGGTTTCGTTGGTCAGCCCAGCTCTCATGACTTGCTTGAATGATTCATGATCAGCTCTCAGGTTTCGTCTGAGGGACTCGTGGTCGGCTCTCATGAGGTCGAGTTGCCGGGCAACGGTGACCTGTTGCTGTTGAAAGCGGACCAGCATGTCTTCCATGGCTGGGGTATAAACGGGATCTGGGTGACAACTGGAGCTGTCAGGAGACAGCTCTGAAATCTCCCCATCACCCAGCTGGTGGTTGGTCCTACCGTAGGCCATGGGTGCCGGCCTCTTCTCAAGGATGTCGAAGGGTGATGTGTATGCGTCTGGTGGGGACACTGTTGATACAGGTGGTGCCGGTGTCTTCTCAAGAATGTCAAAGACGGATTTGTAGTCATCTGGTGGTGACACTGGTGGCTGTGTGTCTCGATGCCGGTGGCAGTAGGCTAGGTTGCTGTTGCCAGCTCCATCGTGGCTGGTGTGTGGGGCGGGCACAGGCGGTGTAGCTACTTTGGACTTGGGGCCCAGGGTAGGCGTGGTGCCACCAACGTTCGGAGTAGCCAGGTGCATAAGGGTCGCTCACATCGCTGTAGAAACCATAGAAAGACATGGTGCCGCTTGTTGCTGACAAAGAAGAGGTGTGTGGCCTGTACCTGGGAAATACTGGAATTGGGCTCTTGTAGCAGGGCAATAAGCCTTGGCTCAACTGTAATCTGGAAACCACAAAGATGACTTCTTGGGACCTTGCTAGGGGCCTGGGAAATTCAATCTAAGTGTAATTGAATAAGGTAGCCTGTGTACAAGCTTTGGAACCTGTTTCCTGAATTGCTCTGGTGCTGGGAATTGGCTTGGTTTGTTGGTATTTTTGCCACTGAGGAGCCAGGCAACTTTGGGCCAATGAATCTCCCCGCACAAGTTGCCAGTACGGAAGGTGAGATACCCAATGACTAAACAAGGTATGGCGGATTCAATGGTAACACTTTCAGCCAAGCGAATTGACCTCTTTGTCGTCTCGTGGCTCTGCGAGTTGCTCTCTTCGTGTTGAGTGGAGGCTTCGTACAGAGAAGATCGCGATGTCACGATTTTCAATGACTCGACGGTGTAAATCCTTTAAAATGTGAGGCAAAGGATTTACCGAAGCTGAGCCTGCTTTCAGAACAATCAAACCGGTACGGGAACACGCCGCGATAAGTCTTCGAAATTCCAGGAACGGTAAGGAACTCCTTGATGTTCCGCTCACTGACTCAGTGCACGAGCGATAAGTACCGTACCACTCGAATACTGCACGGGCGATTTGATTGGGTGAGAGAAGAGCTTCCAGTACGTTCCGGAAATCGCTGGAAACTGCACGGTCGATCTGATTGGCTGATCGGCTTCCGTGAAATCTTCTTTAACGTTCCGAAAAAGCTGAATCCGGTACAGGACGGAAACTCGTGACACTCAAAAACTGCACGGACAGCCTGAAGAGATAAGCCACTCGATTTGAATAAATCTAATCGTACTCCGCGGAACCTTGCAACGTTCCGTGCAATCGCTCAAAGGAATAAGCCCGGAGTCAAAAGAGATAAGCCACGTTCAACGCAATAAGTCGTGGTTGCCTCACGGATTCCTTGGGACGTAAAAGGCTTGTTCGATGGCCAAAATAGGTGCAAAAACGATAAGTCTCCTGTTCACTCGGAGACTCCAGATGTCCCTGGCTTCTTCTTTCGAGCTTTCGAGCGAATTGGATGCTTTTCGTGTCAACGGGAAGCTACCTCAAGCCTCAAGCCTCAAGTCAATGGCGTCGAGGCAAGATGTTGTGGGGATATAGGTCCTTTCGCAATGGCTGTGGGCTTTGTGTTGGTCTCCTAGATGGTGGAGGATCAATGCAAAGGTGGTTGTCACTGTGGTGAAGGCTGGAAGTATCAAAATTGACCAGAAGGTTGTGGAGATGAGACTTCAAGATGGGCCTTGAAATCACCACCAAATTCCAATGAAATTCAATGAATCCAACTGTAGCTGTAGTGTAGTTCGAAGAGATCCTTTTTCTCGTCAAGGAGGTCTCTTCTTCCCTTAAGAACTGCCTGTAAATCTATGCTGACTGTTAATCCAACAAGTTTCTAAAAGGATCAGTTCCAATACTCAAGTAGTGGACTGGACCTCGCTGAAACCCTTCCTCAGGGACAGCGGTAGTCAGGCAGTTCAGGGAGCCTTGTCGTGCCTCAGGAGTGTTCCAACACCTCCAGTAGGCACCAAACCAAGGACTTGGCCCTGTCAGTCAGACAGGAGGGCCAGCAGAGCTCTCTGCTGGACCCTTTTGGGCCAGCTCACCTCAGGAGCTGGGGGCCTTCGTTATTCAATCGTGCAGTGGCAGTCTGGGAACAGTACTATCTGCTACCTCCTACTGCTTCTGCCCGGCCTCAACAGGATTGGTATCAACTGCTGCGGTATCAAAGGGGCTACAAGCTAATCAGGATCGGTCTCAATCTTTCGTACTATTTTCTTAACTATGATGGAAAGGACGATCCTTTCTTGCTGCTTTGGCTGGAGATAAGCCAGCTGTGGGTGCTGGAGCTGTAGGCCAGCATAGCTGTTGGAGCTATCTCTGACGGGATCCAGAGCTCTTGCTCCTAAAAGTTATCGATGGCTGGCATTCGAGTGTATGCAGAACAGAACAATCTAGATGAGTTGGATGCCTGTACAGTGCTCGACTACAACTACAAAGGAGAGTGCAAGAGCTCCATTGCCAACTTTGTCGACTACTTGAAGGAAAAGGAGCTACTACTGAAGTTGGCCTCTCGTGGTCGTACCAAGAAATCGTGAGCTATTTTATGTTGGTTCAACCACTACCATTTCGTGGGCTTCCAAGCTCCTTGTTCTGCGACCTCTTGAGCTGCCATGGGCTGGGGCTCCGAGATACAAGCCCCCATCATTCTAGCTTTATTTAAACTAATAGTAGTAGTGCTCGTGCTTTCAAAGAAAGCTTTCAATTGCTCATGTAGCCGTTGCTTCTCCATTGTCGACTGTGTGTGGTGTGTTTGTGTGTTGTGTTGCCTCTTCAAGTAGTGTGGCCTCTTACGTGTACTGAGTAGCTGTTAAAGAGGTGCGTGACATTGAACTTTTTTCGAAAAGTGAGAAGACGTTTCCGAAAAGTGAGAAGTACGTCAGTACCGGTTTCGCATGGTGAGTACCGGTTGCGAAAAGAGGTGCAAACTTCTCAAAGAGGTGCGAACTTCCCAAAAGAGAGGAGGAACATCGGTGAGGTGACTCCACTTTGAATCCTGCTCAGCAGTATCTCGATTGGCCTCTCCAGAGTCTGAGGGTACTGAAATCGACACAGTGAAAACAGAATCTTGACAAGTCAAACTAGAAACTCTGAGTCAAACTCCAACTTTGACTCACTCGATGAATGCACTGCATTTTCCTTTGACTGAACGAACTGTCGAAGGACAGACAGTAATTTTACCAACTAAATAAAAGAATAAAAGAATAGGTCTGGATCTTTGGAAGAGGAAACGACCCGGAAATTCGGCTGAGTCTTGGGTGCTTCGGTTCGTGACTGATGTCATCTCTCGTCTCCATTCATTTTTCTTGCCCTTTCTTCACTTCGAAGGAGAGTTTTCAAACCCTGGTTCCTTCAGCCTCTTCATCAACTCCCTTTCATCCTCGATCTAGCTACTAGATAGCTGAGAAGCAAGACAAGACAAGCGTACACAGCAAAACAAAATTCCACCATGGGAAAGCAACGTCGCAAGAAGCGGCAGTCCAACAACAATAACAACAAGAAAAAGAACGACCAGAACAAGTCCTCACCAAACAAATCCAACAACGAACCATCTTCGACACTCTTGCAACGGATTCGTCACTCGGATCCACGCACTCGTCATGCCGCATTGGCGGCTGTTGCCAATACCATGTTGGATCCTTCCAGCAATACTCGACTTCCAAAGTCTGTGACATCGCCACTGTTACAAGCCATTCGAGAACGAGTCCTCGATTCCGATTTGGATGTTTGTCAAGTGGCAGCGGGATGTTTGGCCAATTGCGTCCAAATTGTGGCGGCTTCTTCGGATGACAACACTACTACGAGTCAAAATCAGGCAGCCACGCCCACCCTGACGGCCGGATGGACATTGGTCTTGATGGGTCGATTGAAACAGTGTCATGATCATGTTGTGGTTGCGACCACCACCACACCACCTGCCAAGAACAACAACAACAACAACAATAATCAACAAAAAAAGGTCCAAAAGCAGTGGTTGGCACTGGCGGTACAGTGCTGGAAGACGTTGTGTGTCCTCACCGAAACCAATCCCGAAGCGGTGGGACGATTGACATCGCAGTTGGATGCCACTCCACGACGCGAGTTTCATCAAGTTCTGCTCGAATGGATGCAGCACTGTTGTGGGCAATCTACAACATCTGATGATACGGCACAGTATTACGAACAAATCATGACCTTGTCGGCTCGAACGCTGCATTCGGCATGGGATGACAATGCCGATCTACTATTGCCGTGGAAGGAAGAGTGTCCCGATGCCTTTCGTCATGCCCTCGAATTATTGACCAAAATTGTTACAGTGTCCCCGGCGGCAGCTGCATCCACTGGCTTTGTCGTTCCCGTCGTGGCACAACTTCATTGTGCCGGAGCCATCTTGGCGGCTCGTCCCTTGATGACCACACAACAAGCCGTCCAAGTGACACAAGAAACCGTATTGCCACATTTGTTACACAATAGTACGTTTTCCTGGGACACGGCGCAATCCATCTTGCAAGCCTATCAGCAAGCCCATCAAGCGTGGGAACAAGAACAAGCCGATGATGCCTTGGAACGAGACGTCATTCGAAAGGTGGAGGATCGAAAAGAACCCGCACGGTTGATTGCCCGACGACAAAAGGAAAAAAAGAAAGCCGACAAGGCCATGGAGGAAGAATCAGAAGATAAAAAGGACGAAGATAAAAAGGAAGATGCCAACAAGGACTCAACGATGGAAGAAGGAAAAGAAGAAGAGGAAAAGGCGCAACAACAAACCATGGAAACACGAGAGGCACTGGAAGAAGCCAGGGATGCCTGGAATCAATTCTTGTTGCCGTTGCAGCTGTCGCTCGAGTTGGTGGCCAACTTGACTGGAAGGAATAGTTTGGAAGAGGACGATGATAACGACAATGACATGATGGAAGAGGAGGACTGGGGTCCGGATCAAGAGGCCAAATGGATGCAGCAAGAACAACAACGACAAATGCAAACCAGCTTGCCCAACAACAAAGATGAGGATGCACTGCAAAAGATTCTACTGGAAAGTGCCTTGCCAAAGCAGCTTGTACAGCTTTTTCGACAAGTTTATCATCAGCAACAAACACAAGGATCGACGACGTTTCCGGAAACATCAAAGGAAGATTTGGAAGACTTGCAATCCAAAACCATGGCATGCTTGGGCAACTGCTGGGACAACATACCTGCCTGGTCGGTCGAATTGACTTGGCCAGAACTGCAACAGGCAGCAACTACGGCTACCGGAGCCGGAAAGGCCGGACTCGTCAGCGCCATGGTGATTGCCTTGAAGACGTATCCGTCATTGCGCAAACAGTGGCAACCCGAGCACGTGACGTTTTGGTTGAACGAACTTGCAAAGAATGATGAGGATGCTGCTGTGCGTCGTGATATCATTAGCATGTTGGGGATCTTGTGCAGTCAAGAACCTCATCCCGCCGAAGTGAACCAAAAGATTTGTAGCACACTGTTGGGGGCATTGACCAAGGACACTACTTCTGTGATGATTCCCTGTGAAGTCTTGAGTGTGCTGATGGATATGTACGGCAACGACGAAGACGATGGGTGTTGTCATGTTTCCGTCTTTGAGTCTCTCCAAGTGTTGGGCCACTTTCAGCGAAACATTCCAGTGCTCAAGTCCAAGCTGAAGCAACTCGAAAAGAACAATGTCGGCGATCTGGACAGGGCCGACCTGGAACTATGGAAGGAGACCGTTTTGAATGCTTCTCGCTTTATACAATACAAAAAAGGGCAGCTGTAAGGCAGTGTTACAAAGGTCATGATATCATGGTCGTTTAGAATTACATGTAGCGAAAGTTTAGAGGAAGCTAGTCTAGCAAACCGGACAGGTTCGAGGCAGCAAGTTTCGTTGTTTCCAACTCAGCTTGATGGTCTCCATTTCAGAACGGAGTGAACAAGCGAAGGCTATGTAGAGGAGCGTTCAGTGCCCATTGCTCCCACCATGTACGTGTATTCCTAGTGTACGGTTGCTCACTTGCATACTAGCTGCTCACAAATGGAGGCAGTTGCATCCTCGACCGGGGTAGCTTGCTTCCCAAACCCACTACAAGTAGATCCCATCCAAGTAATTGTCCTGAGCAGATGCAGGCACCTGCCACAATCCGCTGGATAAGCATCTAATAATCAATTGACCCGGGGAAGGTGGGCCCACACGACCGTCACGGAACCATGATCATTGCGCTTTCGACTGCTTGGTTGTACGTCTAGTATTGGCATACCGTAAAAGTATGGTATCCAACCATGTGCTGTTTTTACCCTCTTTACTGGCTAGTTGGTGCCATTCCCGCAAGCCTTAGCAGTCATGGATGCTTGACGTGGTGAAAGAAGGTGAACAAGGAATGTTAACGCACAAAGAAGGGTGTCCATACGAGAACAGCTCTCGGAGAAGCCTCTGGCCCTTCTTCTTCTGAGTTGTTCTGGCGTCAGGAAGCTTCTTTTCCCTTGATCCTAAATTGCCAATAATTATTTTCCCAGCGATCATAGCATGAGGGGAACTGGTGGTGATTCCCTTCAATGTTGGTGATAATCCCTGTTTGCCGAAACAGTGCCGAAACCGAGGTGGCGACTTGGAAAGAACAACGAAAACATGCGTCATCCCGAAAAAACAGCTGACCCACATTGAATTGAACAGCTACAATGGCCTGCTATGTGCTTCTGTGACGTGGTAGGTGGTGTAGTAAACAGTGGTGAGAAGGGCGAACTGAATCCAGTGTCTTTTTGGATCTCAAGGTCTCAAGGGGACCCAGGCATCCTTTTTGGACGTCGTTGCTTTGGTTGCCTGTTCCTGCCATCTGTTGGAGCTTGAAGAGCTCATATTTGACTGCCACATCAGAGCATTCGGATCACCTCAAAAGCATCAATCTACTAGCTCTAGTACCCTCTCTCCTTTGCCAGCCTTAACCACCTCCCTAGCTAGCCTCTTGAAGTCAGACGTATTGTACTTGACTTGTAGCTGCCACGACGACTGATCCCGCTGAGTTAGGGAGAAGCCTGGTGTCATCAGCTATAGTCGCCACCTACCTTCATACCATCGATCGATTGGCCTGTCTTGATCATCCGCAACACCACGAGGACTTCAGTCAATCATCTTTTGACAATCGAAAGAGAGTGTTGGAGCAAGAGACCATGGTGGCTACTACGAGCAGCAGCGGAGCCAACTTTCGGCAGATCACCAACAATCTGTTCCGTCGGACTTCCTATGCGTCTTTCCCCAAAGATGGTGGTGCCAAGAAGGCACCTCGAGGCAGCGTGAAGACTCCCGTTATCAAAAAGACGCGAACCACAAAGGTCAAGACAGTCCGCTTTGCGGCTGCGGCCAAGGTAACGAATCGTCACCAGATCGTCCAATCGGAAGATCTTCCCAATGCGTGGATCCAGCGCAAAGATTACGCCCACATTAGGATGGGTATCTTGAGTTCCATTCAAGCCATTACCAGCGTCTTTAGCTCCAACGAGACGTCGTTGGATCTGTCCCAGCATTGCCTTCGTGGCATTGAAACCGGCATCTCGGCAGAGCTCTACAAACGCCGCAAATTGCGCATCAAGTCCACTCTACTAGGCGTATTGGAACAGCAACGCGTCCAACGTGCCATTGGTATCTCCGATCCATTGGCGCTACGAGCCATCTCTCTCCAGTGCTCCCTTGGTGCGCAAGAGTCGGCTCGTTCCGTGGGACAGCTAGACTCCAAGCTCTAAAAACGACGACGACATTTTCTTTTCACAGGAAGCCTCACTTCCGCGAGTCGGATGAGGCCTCCGCCTACCGTACCGTACCTTCTGTTCAAACAAACGACATCCTGTTCATACTGGCCTGCAGCCATGAGCGACAGATAGAAGGCCAGACACAATCACCATGATGAAATCCACCTGCATCTCTTGTACTTATTTCTCTTGATGCATGAAAGAGTTGATTTGTTCGTCATGGTTCCTTCCTACCAACAACACCAGTTGTCTCTCATTGACCGACAAAACAGAGACTGGATCTACCTGCCCATATTTACATTTTCTCTTGTATATTCCTACATACATACTTTTACAAAACATACCAGCAATACAATACAATCCAGTGCTCAGTTGCTGGAGGGAGGAAATACAAGTGTGCCTTTAACAAACCTAAAACATGAATATACCTTGTACAAGCACCCCTCTCTTCCCGGTAGCTAGCTTCTTCTTTCTATACCCATTCAGCTCCTACAAGTCGAGACGGAATATCTGTAGCATATAGCAACTCAACGAAGGATGAGGACGAGCAACTGGTAGTGCCGTGGTCGCTTGGTTGGCCGTTTCCTCTCTCGTCCACGGTTTGAGAAATGTCGCCCACACCAGCATCAACACCGTGCCCGGGCAATCCTGGCAACGACCAAGACTTGGCCCACATGTCTTACGTCCGAATCGAATCAATACATGGACCTTCCCCTGAACCAATCCAATACCGACCCTGCTCGAGGACACACACAAGGATATTCTGATCAACTATGATGAAAGCAATGCGTGGCGCGGCACCCAGCCAGCCAAGTACGGGTGTCACCAAGTTCAGTTTGTTATGTTCTCCCCATTGGGTGGAGGTACTTTTCATGCTGATTTTTCAGAGCGATTGTGTACACCAGTATTCAGTGGATGAAGGAATACTGTATGATGAAAGCTATGCATAGTCTGCGATGGCTACTACGGACGATGAAAGATCGTGTCATGAAGCCAGTAGCCGCTAGAGCTATTTTTAAAAATAGACTAGACAAGAAGTACCAGGTACTGGCTGGTACCTCCAGAGGCGGCGGGGATCATACGTTTCTACCGGTTTCTATGTACTGTATAAGAGTATCTTTATCTTTCTCGACACTCCATACTAGCATAGCATGGTCCAAGAAAGGGATCGATGTGACGGTTGGAATGATACCGATACTAGCTAGTATGCATATTAGTACTAGCTAGCTAGCTAGCTACAGCTCGTAGCTAGAGTGCTGGAGTAGTCACAATCTAGCTAGATGTCTACACGTACTAGTACATGTAGATAGGCGGTGCTTGCTCACGAAGCGGTACGATGTACCGTGGCACAGAAGAAACCGGTCGGTACGGTAGTAGCTGGTACTGTACTGGCTACTAGCTAGCTAGTAGGTACCTTTTACGACCTCTTTTACCACGGGAAAGCGCCAATCTTGCCGCCAGCTTGGTACTTAGAGGAAATAGACTTTCCTCTCTTAGACGAAAGCAAGTTCCGTTGCATTTCAGCGGGGTCTCAACCTACCGAGCACATTTTCTTGTTGTTTCATCAGTTGTTTTCGTGGGAAGGCGAAAAATCCTGGTGTGGCCTGAAGTTTCCTTTGTTGAGGTGCAAAGTCGGAGAGGTGAATGAGCGTGGTAGTCTCCGCGAAAGAATCGTCCTTCAAGCCAAGGTTGTTTTAATCTTTTGATAAACTATCTTTTCCAAATTCAATCAAGCCCAAGACCAGCTAGTTTGCTGAACAAAGAATGTCAATGCAGTGCCCACCTCCTCTCGTCCGTTCTCCCGAGAAACATCAGTTTCAATATCCTCCTCAGGCTCCCAATGTTCATGGAGTGGTGGATTCCAGTGAGCAAGATGTCTCAGAGTCGGATTGTATTTACGATGAAACCGAAACCAGTACTGGTGTTTCAGGTATTAGGCAGGAAGCAGAAGACAAGTACAACATGATGACTACAAGAGGGAGCGACGAAGTGCAAGTCTTTGAAGATGGAGAGGATGACGATTCGGATGAAGTAGTGGATCATCGCACAATGGAGATGCACCATCAACAACAGCGCTACCTCAGCGAACAACTCATTGAACACTACCGCATCGACGAAGACACTTCTAGTCTGACGGAAGAACGAGTATCCACTGCCGTGTCATCTTCCACAGTGGAGCTAATCACTGTGGAACGATGGACTGTCAGTGGCGATAGTTACTCCCAACCAGCGACGCTCAAGATTACATCTGGCACCAAGTTCTCGGAACGTCAGATGCAAATGCGACACAGCCAAAGCCACCAATCGGCCGAGACTTCCACCATGTCGGTGACATCTGAAACCAATAATACACTTCATCCAATCGCACAGGTACCCGTCTTCTCAGCCAGGGACATGCAACAACGCTCGAAGCAAAGCCCTCATCATTCGTCATGGGCCGACTCGACAAATCCTGGTATTCAGTCCGCTGGTCGGCTGGTGCATGAAATCTACAACCAAATTATGTTTCATGATTCGCCAGCCGTCAATGAGACCAAGGCTCTGCAAGAGCTAGAGCAGCCGTCTCTGATGGAAGAGGTTGAAGTAAAGCAGCCGTCAGTAGGGCATAATAAGGTCTCTACCCAACGACATGATGCTACATCTCCAATGGTCGTGAAAAGCGCAAGTTCAGGGCTGTACTCGTTCGACACGGAGGAAACGACAAGCAACTTGAGCAAGGAATTAGAAATTCATCGATTAGGAGCACCCCTCAAGGGCCAATATGAACGATATGATCAGTCACATGTTCATAGCTTCTTTCGGCACCTGCAAAAGCAACCCGAAAGCAAAATGGGGCACATTGCACTGGGCACTCTGTGTTCTTGGACTCTCGATGTCATCCAGCCTGTACCGACATTGACAGTTGAAACCCGGCCTGTTTCGACGCCTACATACAGACATGCTCTAGAAGTTAGAACCCCCACAAGTTCGTTGGCCGAACGAAACACACCCACACATACCAGGGCAAACAACACTACATCCACCACTCCCAAGGGTGGCGGTGTTTCCAAAGAAAAGAGTGGAAAATGGAAACTGAAATCATACTTCAAAAAGAAAAAGAAACCTTCGTCTGGAACATCTGCAGAAGTTGTTGTCAGGGACCATTTCCCCAGAGTGCCCAACGCCATTTCGGAGTTGACCCCAAACACTGGGCTGCCAACACAACCCGGCAGCAGCACTAGAAAAGTCGGGGCGTGTACATCCACTTTGTCAGTCTCTGTGGAATGGGGCGAGGAAAATGTTATCGAGGATCGTTGGGATGGTTCTACTCCTCGTCCTCGACCCGGTGACTCGAGCTTGCGGTATCCAGAAGCTGGCATGTCTCCAAAGGGGGCCTTCCCTGCTGCTTCGACTCGTCTACAAATGTTTGGCTCCGAGTATGCTCGATACTTGTCCAACAGCGCATTGGCTCCTAGAATCAGAAGTCCTCGCCTTCCACAAAAGAGTGCTTCGAGTCGCTATGGGCCCTTTACGACTCGTCGACGGAATCCCAACAGCAACATTAGTGCCGGCATTCAGCAAATCATGAGTGCCAGCTCGTTTGGAAGCATCCGATCCAAGAGCAAGAACACGAATACCTCTTGGAACCTGGAAGATCAGGAGAATGCAATCTTGACGGGCGCCATTGTCGACATTTGCATTACAAACGGATCCGACACGCCACCGCCCAAGGGATACTACCGAATATCGCAAACCGTCGATGGGGAAGAATTCAAAGGAGCATTGAGAGCTGGAGGCGGTACGGGAGCGGGTGGGTCTCCACGAAAGAAAAGCTCCACATACCTCAACGTCAAGAAGGAACCAAACTGGCATCGAGCGGCGCAACGACCGTGCGTGACAGCATTGACGATCATCTTTCCCGATCGACAGGAATTTGTCCCTCCGGGTTTTTGCGTTGTTCGGGAGCATCGTAGATGTCATGTACCATATAATCAGACCAAACAAAGTGGTGGAAATAATACAGCCGATGGGACCAACAACGCAGGAGCACAAGAAACTGATTCCACAGTAAAGGATCAACCAGCCAACTTCAATGCCGGTGAAGCTGATGGCGAACGGATCTTTCTGTGCTTTCGAAGATCCCGGGAAGGAAATCCTCTTACGGGAATCTTGCCACTTCAACCCGTTTTCAATGAAGCGATTCCCGATGGCTTCACCGTTCTGGAGCGATCGCCACGTAACTTTGTGGCCAATTTAAATCCAAAGAGCAGCTCTCCTGTGTTTTTGGCTTATCGTCAGCGACTAGCCAACTTGGAGCCCCTTCGACCGCTGCCCTTGCTTTTGTCTGTCCCGGCAACGTCAAATGATGAAGAAAACAGTCAAATGTCTGTTGGGTCGGCTAGAAGCAGAGGCTCGGGGAGGAACAACTCAAAACCCAAACTGTCAGCCTATTACTGCACTGGGGGCACCGTTGTGGAGGCAAACGTTGGAAGGTATCACATCATGGACAGGTCCACCCATGATCTTTTGAGCCCCAGTTCGGTTGCAAATCGCCTGTCTCTTATTGAGCTTTCCCGCAGGAAGACACTGCCAAAGCTCGCCGGCGAATACGAGGCAATTCCCCCGAGTAACGTGCAGAGAGCCCGAGACAACGCAAACAATTCGAATACGCCGGCCAGAGGACTCAACAAGGGCTACACTGCTCCAGTACGGCTACCGACAGAGACGATTCCGTCTTCTCAAGATTCAGCGGTGTCTTCAAAGTTTGTGGTGGGTGGACGAGCAGGAAACAAAACCAACATGAGTATGCATAGCAGTATTGCTGAGTACCCCAGGACATCCAATGCATCTTTCAGCTCAAAAGACTCCATGTCAATTGGTACTGACGATGATAGTGATGCTCCTGCAGTCATTCTATCCTCGTTCCCATCTTCGAATCAGCACTCGGGGGGTTACTATCCAAAGCTGTACGATCCTCATCTTCAGGCCAACCATGATGCGCTCAACTTCATTCCGGTTGTCGAGATTGCGACTCATCCCTCACTGATTGAGCCTCAAAGACATCTAAGGGCGCGAACAGCTCTATTGACTCCTATCCTAACTGCATGCTACCAACGACACGGGGGAGCAGCGCTCAAAGCCGTTGAGGGCCTGAACAGGCTACTGATTGAGACTGACTTCTTTGCCGATGACTTCGACGTTTCGAGCAAACGAGCTTCTATACGTCTGACACTGCTGGATATCACCGTACAAGTTGTGTGCGATGTGGCAACTGGTGGGGCGCAAGAGACAACGTTTGGAACATGCGTAGAGTTTGTGGAAAATGCCATCAAATGCACTCGAGGGCACATGAACACACGGACGATGGGATATGTGCTGCGGTTCTACTTGTTTGTGTTTTATTTCGGGGCAAGTGTTCCCGCAAACAATGCCAACGCCTTTCCACATGCAAGCTGGGCGCCGGGAATTGGACTAGATGAAACCGACCACATAACCTTGCCAATATTGTATGACCCTCGTGTTGAAGAGAGAATGTCTTATCTTCCGGGAGGCGCTCCTCAGCAGGCGGCTTTGGCCTTCAAAGATCTGATTACGTACACGATATCGCGGTTGCAACGGGTGTGTCTCACTGTGCCCCATTTTGGTATGGTTTCAAATAGTGGGGAGGGAATCGAGATGGAAACTACCAGCAAGTTCATCAACGGAATCATTTCATCACTTGTTGATGGCGCCGTTCATCGCGTGGATGTCGCCAACTTCACACAGATGGCAATTCATCAGATTCACAGATCCGGAGGCAGTGAGCTGTTCTGGCACGACATGATAACATCTTGCGGAATTGGCCTGTTTGGTCAGCACGAGCTGCCTGAAGAAGTTCAGAATTTGTTTGTCTTAACCTTTGCGCTCCTCGCCAACTTGGTCAAGGTGGCTGCTGGAAAGATCCGAACAAACGCGGTGACCTATGAGTTAAGGGCTCGTGACGTAAGCAGCAAAATCTTGTCTCTCGAACTTCTACTCCATTTCTTGCAGCGATATCGAGATGAGCAACAAGTCTGGATTGATTCGGAACGCCCGCTGCATGCCAAACTTGCTCGATGTGTTGAAACGATGGTATTCGCTGTTCGTCGGTTAATCGTCCCATGCATCCTGTCTAGCACCAGAGCCGGACTGGAAGAACCAAGAGTGTTCTCGCGTGTGATGCAAATCATGTCCCTTCTCTGGAGGACGCCAATGTACCGAGATCGAATGAAGGGTGAAATGGGGATACTGATAGAACACTTTGCTCTCCGTACGCTCCGGCTTGGGCCACAACTTCAGCAATCTCGACAAATGAATCGAAGGCAGACAGATGCGGACGATCTATCCTGCCCATTGCTAAGTCAACAAACCGACGTACTGACAGAAATCAAACGTTGGTTTACAGTCGATCCGAAGGCGACCATAGAGATGTACCTCAACTATGACACCGACATTACTTCTCAGGTTGCCGGTCCCATGCCCCTGCTACCTGGAACGCAATGGAAAGTTTTCCAACGAATCTGCGCTGGCCTCTGTAACCTAGCAGAGCAATGTGGTGATCTCATCGGCGAACAGATCCGACAGAGCCAGTCGACAGCAACACATGCAGAGGCGGTCAAGAGTAAGATTCCAGGTTTCATGGATGCAACAAATGAGGGCCAGGCTGTTGAGAACAAGGAAGCGCGGTTGGCCGAAATGAAGGCGATCAGAGAGGGTGCTCGACGGCTGCGAAAAGCAGCATTGGATGCAATTGTGCAAATTCTAAAGGTGAGAATCAAATGCATGTTTCCCGACCATGTTCATTGTCTTTGCAACTAGCTGACATGATCATCACTTCCCTTTCAGTGCCTTGCGAGGACATCAGCAGTGGCTACCGGAAAGCAGTTTTACGAACTAGTGGCGTCGTGGTCGGACCCCAACAACCCGGACGATTATTTCCACGAAATACAAACTGTCCCTTCCAGCGGCTCTGAAGAATCCCATCAATCGGATTCTGAGTTCAGCGACGACGACAGCGACGACAATCGCCTTTCGGGTCCAGGTGGGGTTCTGGGTTTTTGGCGCAAGGAGATTGCTTCAAAGTCGAAGCCGTTTGCGTACAACTTTGAAACTCAACCAGGATTGCTCAGCAGCGTTACACGAGAAACTGCGTTTGAGATTGCCAAGAAGAAGAGCGTGAAGAAATCAGTAGAATATCTTATTGCATGCAATGCACTCACATCTTCGCCAAAGGATATTGCATCTTTCCTTCGGGTCCACAAAGACAGGCTAGATCAAGGAGCTCTTGGTCAATATCTGGGAGAGACTGGGGTTGACGGACAAGAAACAGAATACTGGAACTTGATTCGTTTTAGTTATGTCCGAGCTATTTCCTTTGACGGCATGAAAGTGGAAGACGCGTACGTAACCTGCAACGGTTCTATGCTACACAGATAGCATGGTGCTCCTCCTCTAACCTCTTCCTTTTGGCTCTCATTCGTATAGGCTGCGTCATTTTCTAACCAATTGCGGTTTCCAACTACCAGGGGAAGCGCAAAAAGTCGATCGAATCATGAGCACTTTTGCCCAATGCTACTGGGAAGACAATGCAGGTGACATCAAGATTTGCCCCTTTCAAGACCAGGACACGGTCTTTTTGCTTTCCTTTGCCATTATAATGCTCAACACGGATCTTCACAAGTCAGGAGGAGCACCTAGTTCTCGCACCAATAGCAAGAGTGCCCGACGACACATTACCAAGCAAGAATTTCTCAGAAACTTGTCGGGAGTGGAAGGAGGAGAGGAGCTGAAACGAGATTATCTGTCGGCGGTCTACGACTCGATACAATCAAATCCGATTGTTTTGACCAGCGACGAATCGTCCGAAACCCAAACCCACGCACATTCTGTCGAAGATAGAGAACGAATGCTGAAGGGTATGATTGGTAATGTTCGATCCGCCGATGCGTTGCTGCGTGGGTTGTCAGTCCATGATGTCAAATGGGCGTCCATGCAAGACTTTAGCAGCAGTCTGGACTACGAAGGAGCGGATGCACTCTCTGATCTTACTCAAAGTTGCATATCCGAAGCGTGGCACCAGTTCCATGGAGTGATAAACACGGCCCTTGAAACCGCGCATTTGGATCCCCAAGGAATGGAACCGTGTGTAGACCTGCTCAAGTACGCGCTGGTCGTCACGATCTGTCTGGACATGCCCATGGAACGATCCGCGTTTTTGAGCCAATTGGGTCGATTCAAGGTCTTTGAAGGCAACCGCACTTCGAATCCAGGAAACTGGGTACCCGACGCAGAACAAGGTCGTCTCTTGCTGCTCAAAGGAAATCCAGCCTTTGATCGGGCCATTGCCGGACCCTTGGACGAGGAGAGCAAACTGAAGGCATTGGTGCAAGTGCACGAAGCAACACAACACCTTCGATCGGCTCTGAAGGTCGACATTGAAGCAAAGCAGGAAATGAGCCGCATCACTCACCAGATATTGGATGGAGAGTTCTTGTTGAACGATCCCAGCCGAACGTTTGTCCGAATGGGAGATTTGAAGAAAAAGAGCATCCGGTCAGGAAGATACACGGACTATCGCTTCTTTTTGTTCTCGGATGTGCTGATCTACGCCAAGCGTTCGTCCGCATCATATGCCCACCAAAGGGGAAGCTTTTATGACAACGTTGACAAGGACCACAACAAGGACGAGTACAAGATCCACGAGGAGCTACCACTTCACTTGATGAAGGTGATTGACTGGTTCCCGCCTTCTTCTATCAAGGACGTGATGAAGAAAGCCTTTCAAGTTCATCATCCCCGCAAAACGTTTATGGTGTTTTGCAATTCACCCGAGGAACGAATTGCTTGGGTCCGTGATATCCGGTTGGCCATTGAGAAGGAAATCAAACGAAAGGTTGAGATGGAAGCAGCACGTATGGCCGCCGCAACAATGAGCGCTCCTCCAACCAATCTCGATGTGACCCCAAGACTCATCTGATCCAATTCCTGAGCCTGGCCAGAGGACAGGACAGAGCTTTTGGAAAGGACAAAATTCACAAAATACAAAACGGCAAACAACACCACACACACACAAATAGAGCTATTGATTGTTGCCCATGAATAATAAATAATCCTATGCGTTTTTACAAATCGTTGCTTTTGTCTTCAACTCTTAGTCAAGCATCAAAACTAGCCAGCAATGGGCACTCGCTCGGGTTGTTTCTTTGCCTCCGCCACAGGCTGTTTGATCTCGGGCAAGGCATCGCCTGGAGCTATTGGTAGGTCTAGCTTTTCTGTGGTTGTGGTTGTTGTTGGTGTGGTTCCTGCCAATTCTGCTTCCAAGGCCGCCAATTCTGCCTCGACGGCCTCCTCTTGGTCGGCCGTCAGACTGGGCACTGCTCCGTTGATAACATCGGTGATTTCCTGTTCGACGCCATGTTGTTCGGAGATTTCATCCATCAAATTGAGAACATCATCGACTGTGGTTTCGGCATGCAATTTGGCAAGAGCATCCTTTCCTGCCTTCATGGATTCTACAAGTTGGGCATTTCGTTGTTGACTGTCAATGGTTTCAATCATCTGATGAACATTCAGCAGTTGTGTCTGACAACTCTCCACTTGCGCTTGTTTGTATTTCTTGAGACGCAACAGTCCAAGGGCCGTCTGTGTTCGGCCAGCTTCTTTGGCGGCCTTTGCTCTCTCCACCAGCTTTTCAATGGACGTCTCCAACGAGGCATTGTATTTCGTCAACCGATCTCGCGCATTCTTCAAGTCCAAAATGGCTCGATCAACATCGGTGACTTGGCTCTGAGCTATCGACTTTTTATTAGTAGTGCTCTTGGAAGAGCTGCTAAAGGCGCCTCCCATCGTGGAACTGACAGCTAGCAATTCGTACGGGGTCTCTTATTCTTCTTCTGCTTCTTGGAGAGACAATAGAGGAACAAGGAAGTGGCAGAAATGAGAGATGCGTCTCTGCCGGACGGAATGAGTTGGGTCGTTCCGAAAAAATCTGCTCAAGAGTCGACTTGGTCGACTAAAGATGGAAAAGAGCCTTATCTCTATCTCTATCATTATCCCTGTCGAAAGATGACGTCAGTGAGCGTGGTGTCATCCAGTCGTGAAACGCCTTTAACTCTTTTAGTTGTGGTCATCACACCGCACTACATACATGTATGCATACAGGAGCGTTCCTCAATCGTGCATGTCCTTAAATCCGACCCTAATTTTAGGGTCGGTTTGGGGAAACTCGACCTTAAATCCGACTGATTTAGGGTCGGTTTCGAAACCCGACCCTAAATCGAAACCCGACCCTAATTTAGGGACGTTTTTTCAGAAACCGTCCCTATTTTTCAGAAACCGTCCCTAATTTTAGGATCGGTTTTCAAACCCGACCCTAATATTGGTGCGTTTTCAATGTATTTACCACTCAGTCCCGCTTCCATTTAAGGACGTTTTTCAAACCCGACCCTAAATCAAAACCCGTCCCTAAATTAGGGACGTTTTTTCAGAAACCGTCCCTATTTTTCAGAAACCGTCCCTATTTTTAGGGACGGTTTTCAAACCCGACCCTAAAGGGAACCCGTCCCTAAATCCGTCCCAAATAATAGGGTCGGTTTTTGTTAAGACATGCACGATTGAGGAAGGCTCCAGGACGCTCCGCACGCTCCGCAGCTCAAAGCATCGCGCGCAACAGCTATCGCAACAGTCTCCGCAACTCGGACAGCACGGCAACAAACACCAATCCAAGATCAAGGCATGCAACAACAACACTAACAAAGCTCTGTGAGGCCCAGGAAGTGTGCTATTGGGTAGTATAGAGCACGAAATCAATACTCATCAGTGGCTCAGTCTTGTCTCGTCACCTGTCGTTTTCCACCTGGCAGAATCTGTCATCTGAAAATTTGGGTGGAAAAATGGGATGTCACCATGATGAGCTC